CCTTCACTCCTGACCTAGTGAGAAGACAGCTAACCAGACTCCACTCTGGCAAAGCTGCGGGCCCCGATGGTGTACTCCCCTGGGTGCTCAAAGCTTGTTCCAACCAGCTGTGTGGAATATTTAGCCTAGTCTTCGGCCTGAGCATGCTCCTCCAGAGAGTACCCGTGCTGTGGAAGACGTCCTGCCTCGTTCCGGTGCCAAAGACTTCGCGCCCTAGCGACCCTCAGGACTACAGACCGGTAGCACTGACGTCCCACATCATGAAGACCTTTGAGAGGCTAGTCCTGGAGCAGCTAAGGCCCATGGTCAGGCCCTTCACTGATCCACTACAGTTCGCCTACCAGCCCCGCCTGGGAGTGGAGGACAGCATTATCTTCCTGCTGAACAGAGTCTACAATCACCTGGACAAGCCGGCGAGCACTGTGAGAATCATGTTCTTTGACTTCTCCAGCGCCTTCAACACCATCCGCCCAGCTCTACTAGGTGAGAAGATGACTGCGATGCAGGTGGAGGCCCCCATCGTGTCCTGGATTGTTGATTACCTGACGGGCAGACCACAGTATGTACGCCTACAGAACTGTGTGTCTGACAGGGTGGTCAGCAACACTGGGGCGCCTCAGGGGACTGTCCTCTCCCCCTTCCTCTTCACCCTTTTCACCTCGGACTTCAGCTTTTGCTCTGAGTCCTGCCACCTTCAGAAGTTTTCTGATGACTCAGCAATTGTTGGCTGCATTGAAAAGGGTGAGGAGAGTGAATACAGGACCGTGGTGGGCAACTTTGTCACTTGGAGTGAGCTGAACCACCTGCAGCTCAATGTGACAAAGACTAAGGAGCTCATAGTGGATCTGAGGAGGACAAAAACACCTGTGACCCCTGTTTCCATCCAGGGGGTTCCTGTTGACACTGTGGAGGAGTATAAGTACCTGGGAGTGTACTTTAACAATAAGTTGGACTGGACTAGAAACACCGAGGCGGTCTACAAAAAGGGCCAAAGCCGACTATTCTTCCTGAGGAGGCTGAAGTCCTTTAACATCTGTGGGACCATGCTGAGGATGTTTTATGAGTCTGTTGTTGCTAGCACGCTCTTCTTTGCTGTCACATGCTGGGGCAGTGGGCTGAGGGTCGCTGAAAACAACAGACTGAACAAACTGATCAAGAGGGCCGGTGATGTTGTGGGGGAGCAGCTGGACACCCTGACCACCGTGGCAGAGAGGAGGATGCTGTCCAGGTTTCAGTCTATCTTAGACAATGACTCACATCCTCTCCACGACACACTGGTCCAGCAGACGAGCTCCTTCAGCAGAAGACTCCTCCTACCCAGATGCACCACAGAGCGCCACAGGAAATCATTCCTACCTGTGGTCATCAACCTATATAACGCCTCCCTCAAGTGATTCAGCCCCCCCCCCCGTCCGTAATTGACATTTATGCACTATTTTTGCACGCCACATATCACTTTACTTGGATTTATTCACTTTAATTGGACTTTTCACTTTATTTGGATTTAGTTCTTACATATACATAGATATACATACAGATATATGTACAGAAGAGCTATATGTGTATATATATTTTATCTCTTTTTATTCTTATTTTTTATCTTATTATATTGTATAGTTGGATGTGTGTATATATCATGTAAAACTGTAACTAGAGCGTGTAACAAAAGTAATTTCCCTCTGGGATTATTAAAGTATTTCTGATTCTGATTCTGATTCTGATTTATGAGGTGTTGAATTAGATCTATATTCACAACTCTTGCAAGAAACTTTTTTATAAAATAGGGATTTTATTAATTAAAAAGTTTTTTAATTCTAGAAATTGTTGTTTTTAGCCCCGCAGCAATTATGAACTGCAGGGCAGCATTGTATTTCCAGCAATTGTAGTATCTAGACAAGAGCTGTCAGTCTGGTGAAGAATCTGGCTGTTATTCGAATTTGTAAAGGTTAGCTGTTTTATGAATTGTAACATTGAACTGTAAAGTTCCTTGAGATGACATGTGTTGTGAATTTGGCGCTATATAAATAAACTGAATTGAACTGAACATAAAACTGACTAAAATGAGACTAAAACCGACTATAATATATCATAATCAATAAAATGTGACTAAAGCTAATAATACTTTTCCTCCTGAAAACTAAAACTTAGATATGCAGGTGAAGATTCTCAGTCATTCAGGTCACAGTCATTTCAAAAAAGTAAAAAAAAACAAAAAACAATCCACTGGACTTTGTTTCTAAGTTTGAAGATGTTTCGCTTCCCATCCAGGAAGCTTTTTTAATTCAAAATGTCAAAATTAGCAGTAAATTCGAGGCCTTATAAAGGGGACTAAAATCAAAGCCTTGTTTTGGTTTAGGAAACAGGCAAATTGAACCTAAAACTAAGATTAAGTCTAAGATGGCTGTCAACAACAACACTGGATGGAAAGCATAAAATGCATAGGAATTCAATGCTCAAATTAAAGATTTAAAAAAAGAAAAATCTTTATTCTTTGTCTTTATTTGACAATCAGTTATTGGTTTGTTCCACTTTTGGACAATCATCAATACTTTTGATTGTGATGGGGTTGGGGGTAGGCTACTCATGGTGAGACAAAGTGCCCAAAGGGGTACAAAGCTCAGAAAAGGTCAAGGCCATGGAGCAGCCATAACGTCACATAACGCAGGATAGGGTACAAGCTGTGCAACATTACCCACGCTGTCATCTCGTCCACTATAATGGCGACAAAGGGTGTATTTTGCTTTTTTTTTATTTCCATCTTGGTCTCTTCTCCCGTCACTTTAGCAATTGTTTGTTTCATAATTTGCCTGAAGTCCCAGAAAAAATTTGTCAGTGTACAGGTTGTAGTAGTGTACTGTAGGTCTGTGTTCTCAGCAAGAACAGAAAGCAGTACCACGTAGTTGGCTCTGTTTGTAGACTCATGCGTTCATCATGTCCACTAAATGAAAATCATTTTTACCATAAGACATGAAACGATCTCACAATCTTTCCAATATTTCCTTATTTTTCTTCACCTTTTTCTTACGGAGCTGTTTCCCCTACACACGTCTTTGTTGAACTGTAGATATAGTCAGGTGTCCCCACATGTTTTTAAAAGCCATGCTTTGGTCTCTCGTTGCTGCCTTGCTTAAAAAAAACACAAATTTACCCCAAAACTTATTTTGTGCTCTCTATCCTGCTTTCTGAAACAAGCTCAAGCATGTTCAAGTTGTTTGCTAATTCAGTAAATGTACCAAGCTTTGCCTTTTATTTATCTACTTCAAAATGATGTTGGTATAAAATTATTATTTTTTTTTTCTTTGTCTCACATACATGTAAATCTTGAATCCAACATTGCAGGGTGAAACATGGCAGTAAGAACATTATTCTATGTGGACTTTTTTCTTTACATTAACACATCTTTCCCACAACAAAAATACTACCTTAATTTCTTAGCAACCAACCAATACTAACCTAGATTTGTAAACATAAAGCAGTAACAGCTCCTACCTGTCTGGTTAAACTAGCAAAATATAAACATCTCAAAGCATCTTATGAATATTAAAATGATTAACAGATTGTGAAAAACTCTCGCAAAGAAATTACTATCACTCTTGGATGACTCCAAGAGGCATTGAGAAGGTTGAGAACAGCTGTGTTTTCAACCTCTACATGTGGATGTATTGTTGTGTGTGGTGTGCAAGCCCACAGAGAATCAGCCACAATATTGGGTACCATGGGAAAACCTGCATGGAGTAGGCAAACTGCCACCTTTCTGTCCATATTTCTCATTTCCATATGATTGAGTATTACAAGCAGAATGTGAGGTTGCCTAAGAACCATAGGTCCAAGACTTATTTTCTTCCACTCAGAACTTATGTAGACTATTGAAAGGGGGAAGTTAACACCACTGCAGACACCACATATTAAGACACAAACTTTTATGTTCAGGCTGTTGCTACAGAGACAGAGACATATTTTCCTCCAGGCTGTCTTCCTGATGATGACAATAAACACCTTACACACTAATTAGTAAGTTAGAATACTTTTAAAGTATATTTCGTTTTCCAATTCCTTACTTCCCTTTCCCTTTGCATTACACATGCAGCAAAACCCAAAATTAATACATCTGGCAAAGTTTTGCCTTAAAGTAACCTTTATTCAAACAACAGGTTTATCCTTAATTTGAAATGACCACCATCAAGGACAAAATACGGGATACATAATTGTGGAAAAATATAAGTAAATTAAAAGCATTCATTTGTATTTGAATAAAAGGTGGCATTTATGTCCTTGTAAACGAAACAAGAAAAAAAGCCTCTTTTCACTATTGAACCCATTAAAATATTTGTCATAACTGGAAGCAGACTGGCTTTTTGCTTGTCCCTATTAGTATTTCTGCGATTCAGCTTGATCTTAAAAGCCTTTTATAAAACAGGATCTTTGTGTCAACACCAAGATCTTTAGACCTTCACTGCTGAGATTTAAGACAACACCTTTGCTGCTCCTCTGCAAAGCAAAAATGTTTTTTGTTTATTTTTTAAAGTTTTTTGCCTTGCTTGTTTGTACTGTGAGAGTAGCAAGTGAAGTCAGATTCCTTAATTGTTTGTAATAATGGGTGAATAAAGGTTATTAAAATTCTGGTTCTGAGAAGAGTTGCAATTTAGTTACAGGGGTCTTTGTATATGTAACAGCTAAACTGTGTGGTTTTATCATAACAAAGTTGAAGAATTCAAGGGGGAACAATAAGCAAGACATTTTTTTTCCGAAATTGTGTTCAAATTTTACAAAGTAAAAAAAAAAATACAACAAAAACTGTTTTCATTTTACTAGTGACTAACCTGCAAATACTAATAATTCATGGATGCATATAGTTGTAAATAGAGACTGTTGTTCGTCACTGTTGAAAACATTTTAAATGTCAATATTTTTAAAAGCAGGATATAATTTCAAGTTATTTAGGATGTACTTCAAATTATATTTCTAATTATCTTCTGTTTTTCCTGTTTGGTCCCATACAGCTTGTGCTGGCACATATGAAAGATGGAGTTTCTGGAAATTGTGACCGAGGAAGTTATGGACACAGAGGGATCAGCGGTCATAGCAACCTTTTTAAACAGCAGCTTGTATGGCACAACCAACTTCACCAACATCACTTTTTTCCCCTACTATCAACACTCTATTTATGTAGCTGCCAGCTACATCCTGGCATATTCCTTCATCTTTCTGCTGTGCATGGTGGGTAACATCCTGGTGTGTCTGATCGTAGTGGAAAACCGATGCATGCGCACTGTGACCAACCTCTTCATCCTTAACCTGGCAGTCAGCGACCTACTTGTGGGGATCTTCTGCATCCCTACAACTTTGGTGGACAACTTTATCACAGGTAATCTTAAGCTTTATTAATGTGTTCATGGCCATAGAGGAAAAAAATATACCTACAAATGCTTTCTTGCTTTAAAAACAGAAAAGAGAATGTGTTTTTCCTACTCTACACTTTAGTTTTTTCTTAATTAAAGATTGAAAATTAATTAGGAAATGATGAATTTACATTAATATATCCTCTTTTTAATGTTAAAATATTTAACACTAAACACTGTGAGAATAGCAACTAACAAACGTGTAGGTCTAAACAGTAATCTTTCATAAGATTCACCAAATAACTGATAATATGATTATTATATTGGATTATGCAGTTTAAAAAAATCATCTGATTCTTTATCAGTTTGTCTTGAATCTGCACTTTTTGGTTCTCTTTAAGTCTTTTTTAGTTTTCAGTTATTCAGTTGTCTTTCTGTGTTTTCTAGTCTATTGGGTTCATTTCCATTTTGTGTTATTCTAGTTATTTTTGTTTATATTTCTGAGTTATTTTGTGTTTCTTGAGTTACTCTCTGTTGCCCCCTTGTGTTTGTTTCCTTTCCCCTTGGCTTCCTTTGAGACCCTTCCATCCACACCTATTCCTTGTCAGCTCATTAGTCCAGTCCTTATTATGTCTCCCATATATAGGCTGTGTTCGAATTCATGGGCTGCATCCTCCAAGGACGCGGCCTACCTAGACTGGATCCTTCAAAGTCCGTGAAAATAAGGAGACCGGAAGAGTTTTGGCTGTGAATCCAAACAGGTCTATCCTTCAGCGGTTTTATTGCTGTAGGCCATGTTGCTTAGCAACTGTGACAGTTGACACACAAAGCAGGAAAAGAATGAATACAGAAGTTTTCAAAACTGTTTGTTTATTTCTTTTTTTTTTATTGAGTGGAATAAAGGTTCCAACCACCGGGAGCAGGAACAAATAAAATCAAATGTAATGACAGAAACCTTAGTCAGTTAAATAACATGCTGCTGTCATTTTGCACATCTCTCATGTTGCTGCTATTTTCAAATGTCCATTACTGTAAAAATGTCCATAGCTGCATATTGGTTATTTATTCTCCAGGTGCATAGTTTTATATTATTAAAACACTTTACAGTATTTTATCATTCATATTTTAACTCTTCCCTATTATATTATTCTTATACATCTTTCTAAGGTCCACATTTGTGTGCCCATTTTCAATAATCTTTCTGCTGCTTTAAATTTGCCCAATGTGGGACAATAAAGAGATTTTCTATTCTTTAAAAGGGGAAGAAATATATAAGTAAATCTAAACAATGTATGTGTAAAGAATATATCTGCAAAATCTCAAATATTCAACAAAAAAAATTCTTAGTTAAGCATATTGTGCAAAACAGCAATAAAATAATTTTAATCCTATCAGATTTATAGTCCCCACACTGCAGATATATTAGAATATGTCCTTAAATTACAGTCAAACCCATTTACACAGCAACAGATAAAAACCTTTAGATAAACCAAACATTACACCACATATCTGACTGAATAACCATTAAAACAACTATTTTCATTCATTTCAGACGGAACTATTCACAGACTGGATTATATTAAACTGCAGTTCCAATTTTCACCACTGTTCGGCGCCAAGTAACCTTTCCTCTGATCACGGAGCAGCCGGCTTGCTTGGTCTCGCAATGAATCCTGGGATATCCAAGGATACCGAGGATACATCGGACCCGTCCTTCAAATCAGGCAAAAAGAAGGACGCATTTTAAGGCCGCATAACGAGGAGTCTTGGAATCCGACCAGACCTCGGCAGCGCGCTATGACGTAATCTACCTTCGAATCCGGTCTTCTAAGGATGCATCCCATAAATTCGAACAGGGCCATACTCTCCCTCTGCTGTTCCTTAGTGCTGTTTCCTCGTCTTTCCCTCCCTCCTCATGTGTGTTTTCCCTGATGTCCCCCAGATCCTGGCTTTCTGTATTAGATTTTTGGATTTCAGACTCACCTCTGCCTGCTGGTCTCTGCATTTGGGTCCTCTAAAACCTCCACCCAACCGTGACACAGTCTGTCTTTTATTAATAGTTAACTGTGACAAACCCGGCCCTCAAATGTGTACTTCCACAATCACTGGCGTTTAAAAGGGGAGCCAGCATTGGTAAACCAAATAAAACCATGTCTTACCACCAAGTCTTATTCAGGTGGGTTGATGTACAGTAGGAAGTTACCCATAATAGTCCCTTATCGACTAAAAGGCACACTTGATTTGAGTGTAATTTATTTATGTATCCATAATGCTGTCTTATTTTGAAATGTTATGGAGTTGGTACTCCTAACTGCCTGTCTAGCTCATCTGGTTTATAGTGACTGAACAGCTTTTCACCACAATCCTGCAAAAAAAGACAAACCCCATTAGTTACGAATGAGAGAGTAGAGGTGTCTATTATACTGCAGCACAACAGAGCTGGTGGAAATTACAGCAATGTCCTAAACATGATCTATTTGCATCGTAGAGCAAAATTCTTCAATGACAGAGTCTTTATGGTTCACTGGAAATTTACGGATTATGTTAAAAGGGATAACATGAAACGAACTCATTGATAAGAGAAGAAACGAAATACATTCTGCCACGGAATCAATTTTAGTTGAATGTTTGTGAAAGTTGAAAGTTTATGATGTATTTTATATCATCAGTGCTATATTTTTAACTGAGAAGTGGATCAACATATCAAAAAATTTCCAATAACCCTTACTCTAAACATCACCTGTTACTGACTCAGCAACTCATGCCAGACACTTGTTCTCTCTGCTAATCATGCTCCTCATTTGTTAAACTAACCTGCTGGATTATTATACATTTTCTGATTAATTAAAGTCAACCATTGACACATGACCACCCAAGGGCAGTCCTAGCCCGTTTGGCATCCCAAGTGAACAACCCCTCCACCACTACCATCCATCCCATTATACAGCAAGAACCTATTTTACATTTGACACACATAGAGGACATTAAAACCTTTCTATAAAAAATTATGTATCAACACACAAGAGAGAATAAATAGAAAAATCCATATAAGGAAATCTGAAACAGTTTATATTATAGTGTGTAAGTATTTGTTATAGAGCATAAAACTACAGTAAGTATTTCATTATAAAAGCATATATTTCTATTTGTGACAGCATCCTGTAATATAACCATGTCTCTACTGTTTCTAACAAAGCTAAATACATTAAAAAAAACATTGTATTAATTTAGGAAGCTATGAGTGACATATGACTATTTTCAGTTAGTAAAAATCAATAGACTGGGGAGAGGGGTCCTTCCAAGATGGTATCGGCCAGCTCCCTGCTTCCCCATCAGTGCTCTACTCAACTGATCCAATCAGTGTTGGCCTGTGCGCAGGGCACATCAATTACATCTCTGTCTAACTTGCTCCTCTCTGCGTCTGATGTCTGGGGCACATGAGCAATTTGAACCTTAAGACATCATAACTAGATCTGTCTGAGTCAGCCACCGCAGTTTATCAAAAGCCACATGGCATGCTGCATGATGGGAAAATGCCCTCCTGTCGGACAGTGATTATGTTTTGTAAATAAAATGCCCCTACATGTCCTCCCCGCCCTTTTAATTCATCTTTAAATATTCAAAATATGCATTAACACAGACTTTAACAGTTAATCAGTAGCAAGTATTTGTTCATAATAGACTTAACTGGCTTTTTAGATGGAGGACATTTGTGTTAAAAAACATGATACGACTGGCATAAAATCAAATACAAACAGCATAAAAATAAAACAACAAGCCGGTCCCATCTAGGCCTAATCGGAGACAATGACACACGAAGTGTGCTCCTGATGTCTAGTCTGCTCCGATGTAATTGGGAGAGAATGCCGCAATTTTTTTATATTTTTAAATATAAAACATCACTCAGACTCGTCGATAAATTATATATATATATATATATATATATATATATATATATATATATATATATATATATATATATATATATATATATATATATATATATATATATATATATATATACTTTTTACTATTAAATGAAAACGCACACACAATACTGCCTTTCAGTCATTTTACCTGTAACTTCAGAATATCTTCACATCCTGGTGCATCCCTCAAATCCTTCTGCTTATACAACCGTACGTTTTATTTACTATTTACCTCCTTTATAGTTTTTATTTTTATTTACAATGTACCTATTTTTTTAAACTGCGTTTTAAAACTTTACTTCAAATGAAATTCAACATGTTTCAATTACCATGGATTTAATGTGGTGATTAAAAACGAACATACAAGATTTTTTGTTTTTGGCAAAGAACTACTGAAATCATTACCAGATTACACATAAATAGAGGGGAGTGTTGGCCTAGTGGTTAGAGCAGTACGCTTGTGCTTTGAGTAAAACCCTTAACCCCGCAGTGCTTCCTGGGCCCCCTACAATGGCAGCCTACTGCTCCCCAAGGGAATGGGTTAAATGCAGTAAATTTTAGTTTAAGAATGGCCATGCATTTCAGCAAATAATGGAATTTGAAATTATTAAAAGAGACTGTGAAACTGATGGCTTTCCAAGGACCACCAAGACTCATTAATAAATGTTGATTTTCCTACATTCTAAAGCATTGGCATTCCCCTACAATTTATTCTTTAAAAAAATTCTGCAGCCCCACAATCTGTTGATTAATTTGCCATCTAGATCGGACACAGTCTGGTCCACTTTGCACAGACATCTTGAAGAAAATTAGAGCTATTCATTGTTCACAACGCAGGACAGACTGGAGATGTAATTTTTTTCTTGAGCAAATATTATTGTATTACTTATGCATTGCTTATACATAATAATATGCTTTAAAAGACTTTAAATTTGATTATTATGATTGCTAGTGCTATGACTTAAACCCCCACGTTCCCAAGGATTCGACCCTCAGTTAAGGTAATCATTTACTTTCCACATGAAGCACATGGAGTTAGCCCAGTGATGTTCTTGGAGTTAAAACAAACAAACCTATTTTCTTTAAATCTTTACATAAACTTCATATATTGTTTAATGATGTTTTTACAGAGACAATTAATGTGAACACGATAAGGATTTAAACTCTTAACATTCACCTCATTTTGGGAAATTCTTGCCTACTTTGAATACCCAAATGGAAAAGCGAATACCTTAGGAACCGTAAGCCCATATTACATGTGCAATACATTATTTGAAAGCTAACAACCTCTAGTTTTTGAATATCTAAAATTTGGTGAGTAGAACACAGACAAAGCTGCATCAGTTCAATCATGGTTCAAAGTGGGTTTTTTTTATTCTTGGAAATTAAAGGTCTTTTTTTGAACAGCAGCAATAAAGACATGTTTGAGAAACGGCAGGTCTCATTGTATTGCATTTGTTCTAGATTATGTATGGGTCTGCTGCTTCCTTTTTGCTGCTTGTACCAGTTTAGTTCTGATGCGCGGCTGAAGCATCTTTGCTGCTCCAGCTGCGCGGTGAAAAAGTTGGTCTGACGTTGGGTGGAGCTACCCTATCCTTTCTTTCCCCGGGCGCCGCACAATGGCAGCCCACTGCTCCCCAAGGGGATGGGTTAAATGCAGAGATAAATTTCTCCAATGTGAGACTAATAATGTTTAATTTATTTATTTATTTTTATTTGCCTTGCAGCTATATTTGTTGTGATCAGTGGGAATAAAGTAGTTTTAATATGTTTTTAAGTGAGAAAATCCACCTGAAAACTTAATCAGTGCAGTCAGTTAATTCAGATTATCATCCTGCATTCCAATATTATTTCTGTTGCAGCCGCTCAGACCTCCACATACCAGCGGTGCACTGTCAGTAGGAATCCCATTCAACAGCAGCCTATGGCCCGGTTCCCTCCTCGCGGTTCGCCGTGGCGGCTGGAAGGTGGTCTTGACATCGTTATCCAGGTAATCGTGGGACGTTTTCACTCTGCATGCTATCTCCTCTGCAGCACAATGGCGAGTTTACTGGAGTTGATCAAGTTTTACTTTATTGTCGATCTAAAACATGAGAGATCCTGATGCTGCTGCACACTGGAGGAGATCAGTATTAGCATGCACACATTGAGAAGAATCCTCCACAGAATGGGACTCTATGGAAGAAAACATCAATTAGATCTTCTAGATGCAGAGGCCTTCCTCGTTGACCAGCTGGAGAGATACGGAAGCCTGCACGGATATACGTTTCACCACCTTAAATCTGTTCAACATGGATATGCTGGGACTCAGAATACAGTGAGACATCTGTTATCATTTCTGGACCCAAGGGGTGCAGAACGAAGGCAGAGGAGGAGGTTGATGCGGCACGTATTGATCCTGGACCTCATTTCTTCTACGAAGCTGAAGTTGGCTTCCGATTGCAGCTTCTGCTTCAGGAAATGGGTAAAGGGCGATTCCACTCTAATTTTCCCTGCCTTCATCATCTTTAATCCACTCTAATTAAAAAACTACAACACCTAGACACATCTAACCTGGACTAGATTATTCTAAACTACTTGTAGAACAATTAAAACCAGGCCTGGGATTTGTAATACATTTCTCTGAGTTTTAAAACTTCAATAAAAACTGTTTTTAACACTTTTTTTAGTGTCCATGTCACACTACAAGGGGAGTAGCTCTAAAACTACAACACCTAGACACATCTAAACTGAAACTTAAAAAAAAGACATATATAATGAACCCCTCTTGCTCTGACATTCGTTTTTGATTTGGATTTCACTTTTATTTGTAATTCTTTTTATCTTTAGTGTATCATAATTTGGTCTTGCAATTGTTTCATCTCTAATGCTTCACCTGATATCATGCTACCAACAATTTATTGTAGTTGTATATATAATAGTATAATATTCTTATTTTGTCAATATTAAAATAAAATATTCAATTTAAAAGAACAGGACACAATTGTATTGCTGGTAGGGAGGAGGGATTGTTTCTTTAATAAAACATCTAATAATGATTGTAAGCAGTACTAGTTGCAGCAGTATAATAGTCTTATTTTTATCAATCTTATACAGCATTCAAACTGCAAGAAAAGGACAAACCTATAAGATCCACTGTGTGTAAGAAATGATTAACAGAGAACATTTATAATAATATAAGCAGTATTAGGTTTGGGGTGGTATAATATGCTTCTCTGTATTGTTCTTATTGCATCAAATTGTATTATTATACTTGATAATTGTATTTGTATCAGTTTTAAAGCTATATTTGATAGATTTGCAGCAGTTTGTTCAAGTTTACATGAATTGATGCATGTCCCAAGCAGGATTCAAACTAATTTAGCAATTTTTTCCTTTTTCTTTTTTGTATTCTTCTTTCCTTCTTCTTCCCCCCCACTTCTCCAGACTATTGTTCCCCGACGTTGTCCTTGGGGCAAAGGCAAGTTTTTGTGTTAATTGATAGAAGAAGCAGGTTTCATGTTTCCACAAACCAACTGACTACTAAATTGGCTTAAGACCTGTAATAGAAATATTTTTAACATGGTGGAACAACATTATCAATTTTTTTTAATCTCAATTGATTTTTAATTTCTTTTACAAATCAAGAAATAATTTGATAAATGGGTGTAATTTTCTGAGTACATTAAACATTTGTTGTAACAGTAACATCTTACTACTCAAATAACTGTAAGAAAAAGTCTGATTATTTCAGCTATTCATATCCACCAGACATACAAGTGACTTCCTAAAGTAATGGATTGTTATGTCGTGCAAAATCTTAAAGAAATATTGAGAGAGGGTAAGATAAGATAAAATAGACTTTAATGATCTCACAGTGGAGAAATTCACTCGTCACATCGGCTCCATAGTAAGAGGGTATTTAGGATGAATTTCTAACTGTTCACAGTCTGAATAAAATGATTTCAGGAGATAAATACTTAAGCTGTATGGTAAAGTGACATTCTGAATTCATCTGTATCTCTGAGTTTTAGCCATGTTTGCCATATATGATTTTCTTTTGAAAGGGAAAACCACAACAAAGATCTTAACATGACTGAAGCCTAATTCTGCTAAATACTTCATCATTTAAAATGTTTTTTTACTGACCCTTTAAAGACATCAAACTACAGTGTTCCCAAAAAAAACCTTGTTAAAATTATTAGAATATACAAGAAAGATATGACATGTATGTCTGTATTAACACCAACATTTCTCATTTATTCAATATTTATTAATATAGTACAAAATTAAAACACATGTCAAAGCATTTGAAAAAAGTCAATTTAACCCAATATTTGAATTGATAGTATTAATCAAAAAGACAGTAAAGTTCAGATTATTGTATAAAACCGGTTCCATGCATTTTTTAAAATCTGAGTTAACCCAGCAGATAGCATCCCTAAGTTAACATGCAGCATTCACTTTTTCTTCAACATGGAGCCACAGTGGACAATAAGCATTTGTATTCAGCTTTTCCATCAAACCTTTTACACAAGAAGGCTTGTAAGGACGACATAGAGCAAACTTCCCACAAAACCTGGCTGAGTGTCAGCAGCCATCTATCACCACCAACTGGGGGTTTAAGCAAATATGCAACACTGAAAGGAAGTACTTATACGGAAGTACTTTCTGTGTCAAAGTTAATACCAAAAGAAAGAGAACAATAAATTGTTGGAAGCATGATATCAGGTGACGCATTAGAGATGAAACAATTGCAAGACCAAATGATGATACACTAAAGACAAAAAAATAAAATTAAATTACAAATAAAAGTGGAATCCAAATCAAAAATAAAATAAAAAAATGAATGTCAGAGCAAGAGGGGTTCATTATATATGTCTTTTTTTTTTAAGTTTCAGGTTAGATGTGTCTAGGTGTTGTAGTTTCAGAGCTACTCCACTTGTAGTGTGACATGGACACTAAAAAAAGTGTTAAAAACAGTTTTTATTGAAGTTTAAAAACTCAGAGAAATGTATTACAAATCCCAGGCCTGGTTTTAATTGTTCTACAAGTAGTTTAGAATAATCTAGTCCAGGTTAGATGTGTCTAGGTGTTGTAGTTTTTTAATTAGAGTGGATTAAAGATGATGAAGGCAGGGAAAATTAAAGTGGAATCGCCCTTTACCCATTTCCTGAAGCAGAAGCTGCAATCGGAAGCCAACTTCAGCTTCGTGGAAGAAATGAGGTCCAGGATCAATACGTGCCGCATCAACCTCCTCCTCTGCCTTCGTTCTGCACCCCTTGGGTCCAGAAATGATAACAGATGTTTCACTGTATTCTGAGTCCCAGCATATCCATGTTAAACAGATTTAAGGTGGTGAAACGTATATCCGTGCAGGCTTCCGTATCTCTCCAGCTGGTCAACGAGGAAGGCCTCCGCATCTAGATGATCTAATTGATGTTTTCTTCCATAGAGTCCCATTCTGTAGAGGATTCTTCTCAATGTGTTCATTCATAATACTGATCTCCTCCAGTGTGCAGCAGCATCAGGATCTCGCATGTTTTAGATCGACAATAAAGTAAAACTTGATCAACTCCAGTAAACTCGCCATTGTGCTGCAGATGATCATGCAGAGTAAAAACGTCCCACGATTACCTGGATAATGATATCAGGATAGTTCTCATGTTCGATCAAACGTTAAATTGGAGCCCCACCTTCATGTGTGACAGACATTGACTCTGATGCGCTGCGCTTTGGAAGGAATCTCTGTTCAGCCATCCTCTCTCCACTTCCTTCAAAAACCTACTTAGAGTGAAAACATCTTGATCTTAAATTTTACTACTGAATAAAGCATATAAGTTATCACGTTTATACAATATAACTATCTCGTTTATACAATATACTATCACGTTTATACAATATACTATCATGTTTATACAATATATTTATCACGTTTATACAATATAATTATCACGTTTATACAATATTCTATCAAGTTTATACAATATAACTATCACGTTTATACAATATAATTATCACGTTTATACAATATAACTATCAGGTTTATACAATATTACTATAACGTTTATACAATATAACTATCACGTTTATACAATATAATTATCACGTTAATACAATATACTATCACGTTTATACAATATAATTATCATGTTTATACAATATAATGATCACGTTTATACAATATAATTATCACGTTAATACAATATACTATCACGTTTATACAATATAACTATCACATTTATACAATATACTATCACGTTTATACAATATAACTATCACGTTTATACAATATACTATCACGTTTATACAATATAACTATCACGTTTATACAATATAATTATCACGTTTATACAATATTACTATAACTTTAATACAATATAATTATCACGTTTATACAATATAACTATCACGTTTATACAATATAACTATCTCGTTTTATACAATATAACTATCTCGTTTATACAATATAATTATCACGTTTATACAATATAATGATCACGTTTATACAATATAATTATCACGTTAATACAATATACTATCACGTTTATACAATATAACTATCACGTTTATACAATATAACTATCACGTTTATACAATATAATGATCACGTTTATACAATATAATTATCACGTTAATACAATATACTATCACGTTTATACAATATAATTATCACGTTAATACAATATACTATCACGTTTATACAATATAATTATCACGTTTATACAATATAATGATCACGTTTATACAATATAATTATCACGTTAATACAATATACTATCACGTTTATACAATATACTATCACGTTTATACAATATAACTATCACATTTATACAATATACTATCACGTTTATACAATATAACTATCACGTTTATACAATATACTATCACGTTTATACAATATAACTATCACGT